ATAATATTCTAATTCCAACACCCATCGCCCAACTTCCACTCCCGACTCGGAGCAAATTTCTCAAACGTTATCCTGATCTTGTGGAGTACATTCTAAATCCAGCACCTGTCGCCGAACTTTCATACCTGAGTCGATGTGAAGCTTTTGAATGTCATCCGAATCATGTGCAGAGTGTCCATGGCTTGGTTTGTGCATCCTCTAGGTGCGGCCCTGTCTTCATACTTAACCCTAGCACTCAAGAGTCCATCGAACTTCCATATATAATAGAAAATTACCGCTTGGCGTCCGCTACATATAACTTCGGCTTCAGTCCACTGACCAACGAGTATAAGGTTCTCCAGATCTTGTCATTTCGTCCCAATAGCAGAAGTGATATTCGGTTCAATGTATTCACCCTAGGTAGGGATTCTTCATGGAGGCCATTGCAGGTAGACCCTGCCGACCTTCCTTTTGATGCTCGAGGTCACGCCTATGAGATACAAAATGGGAGAAGTACTGGATGTGTGTGTCTGAATGGGGCAATACATTGGATCCATGAGACACAGAAAATGATAGTGGTATTTGACGTTAGAGAGGAGACCTTTAGAGTGGTGCCACTACCTGAAGAATATGCGCAAGAGTTTCGTCCAGATAATCATGGCCGCAATAGGGTTGCTTGCCATGCAAATGTTATTGAGGTGGAAGGATGTGTGGGTGTGTTTGCTGACAAATCGTTGAGACAGAACAAGATAGTGTTATGGATTTTGAAGGACTACCAGAACCTTGTGTGGGTTAAGGAGACTATTACTGCCGTGATGTCGATTGGAGAAGGTTATGTTAAAGCTTTGGGTACAATCCATACAGGTGAGCTAGCGCTCGCGCTCCATTTTTATGGAAATTCTCCGGGATTTGACGACGGTCCACCAAAATTGCTTCTGTATAATATGGAGAGCAAACAATATAGAATACTTGATTTTGTTTTTCCTAATAATATGGGAGTTGCTCGGGGAATACCTATTAAGTTAATTGCTAGTTATGATGATAGTATTGTCCCCTTAAAATGAGATAGATGTTGGCCGGCCTTAATTATAGTTATATATCACCGTTTCCATGGAAGTCTCTATTGCTCAATTCTGTAAGAAATTTATGCATTTTTTAAGTTGGAATTCTTGGAGTGATATTATAATTAAGAAGGCATTTTAGTTCTCAAAATGCCCTTGCAATAATAACATGATATAAGATTCCCCTGAGGTGGCCAGCTGGTAGGGATGTGATATGGAGTGGAAACGTGAAGATAACCTAAGACCAATTTCTTTGGTCTGGGAGCATAACCAAAGACCAATTTATCCTCACCAGTGATTAAAACATTTAAATTTCTCGACTCTATGCAAATTGTATTAATTAGTTTCGGTTTTTTCTTTTCTTTTCGTTTGTGTGTGAATAATTATTTCTATGCAGAGTCATTCTTTAACTTATTTACAATTTATTCAGGTTGATGTTACTGGAATAAAAATTCAAATTGTCTTTCGCTCTGAGGGATGGTTTGATTTTTGATGGTGTCGAGGATTATTCTCTTCAAATTGCGAAGATGCTAGGTTTAAATTGACCCTTGAGAGAGGTCTTCCAGCAATGATTGGCTACTTCATTACAAGACAGCTTCCATATCCAGCGTTGTCCTTCGAAAATGGTTCATTGTGCTCAATGTGGTATTGTTTGGGACAAAAAGGTCATTTGACTTTATTACACTTATTTCTTACATTTTCGGGCTCCTAGTTGAAGCTAATCTATATATATAAAGCAAAAGGCAAATAATGGTAAAACATTCAAAATATCATAAAATACCATTGGTTAATGCAAATATTAAGAATTGAAATTATTAATTAAATAATGATAATAAAATGGTAAATTCATATTTTTTTCATATTTAAAAAAATTAAAAATAAAAGAAAAATCAGATAATGGATCCTATTTTTATGGAACACAACTATTCATTATCTTTTTTAATTCTAAAATAAATTTAAATTATTAAAATAAAATAAAATAAAGAAGAAAACGAAAAGAAATATATTTGGCCGTCCACGTGGGTACATCCTGTGGAATGTGCGGTATCCAAGGCCTTTTGTAGGGTGGAGAACATATACAAAGAAACCTTTGCCAACTGAGGCCACTGAGGCCAGGGCATTTTATTGTTTTGAAGATTAGTGACAAATGGAAATTAAATCACATAGCCAAACCCCCCAAGTAAAGTAAGTAGGTGGATATGAAGCTGCTGCCAACAGAAACAGAATTCAGAAACACAATTTGTCTGTGCCAGTACACTACTAGTTGCCAAAATTACCTCTCTCAATCCCATACCAAAATTACCTAAGTCAAGTCAATATCATGGCAAAGAACCTTTGTAGATCCTTGAGAGATATCAGCAACTTTGTAGTTACTTAATAATGAGTTGCTTTGTTTTACAAGAGGTAACTAAGATATTGAATGCTGTTATTTACCTGGCTTT